CAGTCACCGAATAAAAATCATTAAAAATGAATCCAACAATATATATTAATTAAATAGCAATAAATCATTTTTTTTATAAATTTACTGACGTCTTATTCGACATGATGGGACATGCTCATCCTGATCTTCACCATCTACATCATCTAATATTGAAAGGCTGTGCGGCGACGTTGACAGTCCCGTCAACAATCAATACGAAACTAACGATTTTAAATTGGCTCACCACTTTAGTAGCCTATTGGTCCCAGGCAAACGGTTAACGTACCCTATTCTAGTCGAAATTCTAGTACTACGCAATGTTTGTTTTGATTCGCTATGAAAGTTTGACAGATAAAATGAGGGGTTATTGGTTTTTCCTATGTTTCGAGGGGTGATTCGACAAGCTTGGGACCGAAGATAGTACCAGAGGTGAGCCAAAAAGTTGAGCACGTTTCTTCGGGACCTACTTGTCTAAGAGTTATCTCTATGGTCCCGTCTGGCTGGAGCAGATATTTGCATCTACGTAGCACTTTTACGGATTGATTTCGTACGGACGATTTTATGAAAATTGAACTGTGACGAATTAATTTCCTGCGACATCCATTCCGCCTCTAGTAGCTCCTGGATCGTGATCCAAGTTTTGGGATTCTTGTCAACGGATGTCCTCAACGTCCCCGAATAGGTTCTCGAAGAACAACAACACGTGCAGTGTCACACAGAGAGCCCACATTTCCAGTTCAGGGCAGGAGTAGCGGTTGCCTATCAACACTTCCGGACTGCAGTACTCTGTCGTGCTCAGAAGGTAAAAAAAAGTTGCCCTTCCTGTACGAACGTCGCCGATCCGAAGTCAATCAGCTTGATATGGAAATGGTGATCGATGATAACGTTCTCATCTTTGATGTGCCGGTGCAGAATGTTCAATTAGTGCATTCCCAATGTTCCTCACCAGCGTGTAATGTTTGTACTCTCCTTGGATCAGATCTTCATCACACTGCGACATACGGGAGACGGAACTGGGCCGATCCGAGTGCAGCGCAGCAGCAGTATTCTTGATGGGCTGCCCATTCTGTTGATCTGGCGTTGACGTGGCCATTGTTTTCGACAGCTCGTACGGTTTGACATAAAAAAACATTTGAATTGTCAAAATACCGGGTTGCCAAATATACAATTATTCACACACAAAAATCAGTCCGATGACATGGCACTCTCGGTACAGCGCGGCACACTGAGAAAAACTGTTGGCGCAAAATAAGTGTGTAGGGTAACCACCCCTTGGTATTCTCTCACTTTATACTTGCTTTTAATCTACTTAGATTTGAAAATATTTTGAGTGTATAGAAGCATCAGGGAGTGGTCACTCTACACACTTATTTTGCGTCAACTTTTTTCTCAGTGTGCCGCAGATGTGCTGTGAATTTTCCCATGCTTGGTTGACAGTAGCTTTCAGAAAAATTGTAAGCATGGATACCAAATAGTGCCAATGACTGTGCCCAGGTGTGTCCAAGCTTCTTTTGGCACAATCTGCGGACTGACCAACCCCTTGAGAAGCACAATCTTCGAATTGTTTGAAAATTAGTGCAAAATTTAGGCATCGTCTAGACTATCAGATTCTACACACTGCAAGAAGAATGATCAATATTGAAAAGATGAAAATAGTGACTGATTACAAGAAAACTGACTTTAAACCATGGCCCACTTAGTAATGGAACAAACTCTTTTGCTTATCACAGTGCCCCTAGTGGACGTTTTCGGATGTTTTTAACGTCTATTTGTTGACAACAACAATAACAATAACAGTTCATAAAACGCTCTTATTTTGGAGACAGTCACCATGCAAGAAAAGCGTAGAAAAAAAATCATGCCCAGTCGCCTGGAAAATCCATCGTGGTCCGCGTCCAAGATGGCTAAAGTGTTGAATTTTCCTAGAAATACCGTATGGCACGTGCTCAAAACGTACAGGAAAAAAGGTGACGACGAATCGGAAACCTAAAAGTAAACGCCGGAGTGGAACTGCCAACCGTCAACTCCATGGAAAGGTCGTGAGGCGAGACGGTTTTATGACAGGTGTGCAGGAACTCACAGTCTCCCAGTGTTGGTGAGTTCTTTGCCGTTAATGTTCACGAAAAGTTCACTATTTTGCTATACAAAAATTCAAAACAAAAATTTTTATCTGCGGATTTGAACAGTTTTTGACCTGTTTCATACTACCGGAAGGTGTATGCTGGTCGCAAATGCCGTGCCAAACTGATTTCCTACTCAATTAATCAATCTTTGATGTGAAATTCGCTAATAAACACGAGGCGCATTTCTTATAGCAAACATGCCATAACAAAATGGGCATGGTTCATTTAAGTAAACAAACTAACACTTCTTCCGACTGTTACACCTATGTATTAGCCGTCTCGGTCGTGAGGTTCATCAGAAGCAACCCAGGTATCTCGTGTATGATCGCGATTTGAGTAAAAAGGATGATACCCGTAGTACAGTGCAGCAAATTAGCTACCGCGAAGGCTTACAGGCAACGCGAAGGCTTACATCAAGCAGAATACTGTAGCTAGAACTAGTGCTCGAAAACTGTATGACAACCTGCTGACCAGTGCTGCAAACGGCGATATTCAAAATTCTGCTTTGGTCACTCATTTGAGCTAACAGTCATCGTTAAGGCAAACCATGTTAATTGTCAGTGACAATGCTGTCAGTGACGAACATGTGCACGGCGAATGAGTAAAATGTGTCTCATGGTTTCCTGTGGAAAACCTAAACAATTAGCCGGAAAATGAGGAAATTGACGAAAATTTTATTCAGTCTCGGAGTAGTACCAATATACTGAGTGAATCCAATGTTTACTTTTCTCAAATTCGGGAATTTTTCCCTGGAAAATCCTGGAAAAACCTGGGAAAACATGAGGCAAATTTACTCATCGCTGAGTTCCTGTACTTTTGGCGATTACGAGTGAACTAAACTCAAATTTGGGTCGTTCTCATTCGCCGTGTGAAATTTTTTTCATTAGCTAAATTTGTAACGAAATTAAATGACTTGAGCTTACATGGAGCTGTTTAAGCGAACAAGCATCTGTTTAGATAACAATAATGTGACACAGAATGCACGAAATTAAATGTTTTGTTGCCAAAAAAATTAATGAGATTTTGACACAAAAAATTGAGGATCAAATATATCAGTGACTACGTGATAAACAATTTTGTCAATATCGCGCGAAGGTTTGTCAATGACAATGACAAATGTCAGTACTGCTGCTGACCAAGTCCGGTGGGTGCATACTTATGGATGATAAAACTTATGTAAAGGTCGACTTCGGACAGCTTCCAGGACCAACATTTTACACGGCGAAGGCGAAGGAGGTGTCCCTGGCAGATTCAAATTTGTTTTGCGGATAAATTCGCACGCAAATACATGATATGGCAGGGAATTAGCTGCGGCCAGAAGATAAAGATTTTCGTTCACTGAGAAAATGATGAACTCGGAGCTTTACAAAATCGAACCAGAGCTCTACAAAACCAGAAGCGAATTCTTCCCTTTATGCAGTCACATGATGGTTCGGTGACATTTTGGCTGGATCTTGCGAGTTGTCACTACTGCCAGGAAGTACAACAATGGTACAATGACAACGGAGTCTAGTTTGTTCCGAAAACCCTCAATTGTCCCCAGTTCAGGCCTGTACTGGGAAATTATAAAGAGGAAACTGAAGGTAAAAAGTACAGTCATCCTAACGGCAGCTCAGACGAAAAATTGGTGGGATAAAATCGCCAAAACAGTGGACGAGTCCGTTGTGCGCCGCTTGACGACAAAAGGGCCTACAAAGGTTTGTTTACAAAAAGCTTGTATGCCCTTTTCACATGTGGCTCTTGATATCTAGAGTAACATTTGAAATGGGCCTATGTCCAAAACGTAAACAAACCAGAAAATGAATTTTAAATTTTGACCGCCATTATTCAATTCATATTTAAGAAAATTGAAGTATTTTAGGCATTTATATTGTTCGCAATAACAATAGTTACTGTATCTCAGTATACAACATCCAAAATATGCGAAAAGCTTTCAAAATTATATGAAAATCGATAACAATATAATTTCATAAATTAATAAGCCTTTTTTGTGATCTTTCAATGGATAGGCCCCTTTTGTTAAGCCGTTGTGCTTGTCATCAGAAATGGTAGGCCCTTTGCTAAGCCTTTTCGCAACGTCAAATAAATTCAAAACAAATCATCGGCCCTGCCTCAAGCAGTAGGGCCTAGCTTTGGTTTGAAATTTTTCAATCATCGGCCCTTCTACGTCACTAGGCTTATCAATGAAATGAAATAAATGAATGGTTGGCCGTTTTAGCGTGCGGGCCTATTAATGAATCGAAAAATTTCGTTGATCGGCCGTTTCGAAAATCGAGTTATTTTTAATGATTTTTCTCGATTATGCGGAACTTTCCTACACGATTAGTAGCTATCAAGCAGTGCTAAGGAATGGTATCAAAACCCGATTTGTTTACGTTTTGGACATAGGCCCATTTCAAATGTTACTCGAGATATGATGTTGTTCCATTACTAAGTGGGCCATGCTTTAGTGGCTTGGCCTTAAAAAAAAAAGACTTTTTAGTGACAGGCTTGAAAAAAGTGAACAAGTCACTAAAGTCTGACTCGCTACCTACCATGCAGCGAGAATTGTTCAAATTGAATTCTTGATTGAATTAATGGCTCTAATGTTGGCCTATGGATCTAAGATTGGGCCCATCGCTAAAAATCTGCTATTTATCTTTAATTTTATCTAGATGAACGCGTCATTGGGACGGTACTTATGGATATTTTTGGTCGCTATTGAAAATTTAGTCGATTGCTGAATTTATGTATGGGCCCAAATTAGGGGCATTTAAGCCGACATCACATCCATTTTCTAAGAGATGAACCAGCCTCTGGCTGAAAGTCTCGCTAATAAAGATAACCTAACCTACACCCATTTCCTCTACTTAGATTTTCAAATCTGAACTGATCAATTTCTTAATTTCTTTCAAACAGTTGGAACTACATCGCCGGTGCCATCACTTCCGGCGGAGTGTACGGTGCGTGGCGACGCAGCGTCGTAGCCGGTCTGGTGTCCTGTCTGTTCTTCAGCATTGCCGGTATCGTCAAGAAGAACGCCATCGATAAGAATTGGGAATTCTTCCCGGCGGTCACGCACCACGCTACCAGTGGCCTGAATCCCAACAGGTACGACTACACCCTTACTCAGGAGCGTGAACGAGGCTGGACTGCCGGTAAGTGAGCGGGTGGTTTCGTCATTAATTCGATCAAGTGAGAGCCGAGATTGTACTGAAGCAAGAAATTTAGAAATATACGTTGTACAAAGGTATGTTGGTCGGAAGAAGTTTGATTAGAGAAATTCCATGTGCGGGAATGTCTGAAGCGACTTGACTACTAATGGACTACCAGCCAAGTGCTTGATGAATGCTAATCAAAAGCAATGGGTGCTAAACAGGGGGCCTCCCTTAGCTCAGTCGGTAAAGGCGCAGCTACAAAACAAGATCATGCTGGAGGTGGCTGGGTTCGATTCCCGGTGCGGTCTAAGAATTTTTCGGGTTGGAAAATTTCTCTTCTTCTCTGGGCATAGAATATGATTGTACTTGCCACACAATCATACTAATGCAGAAATGGTACCAGGCATCGAAAGCTCTCAATTAAAAACTGTGGAAGTGCGTCTAGTAGAACACTATGTTGAGAGCATGCAATAAGCTAATATGCGATAAGCAATAAGCTTGAAATGAGAAGAAGAAGAAGAAGGGTGCTAAAAAGAGGCGTTGGCTGAGTTTTCAAAGATACCCAACTGCTTCGTTTTCATGCAGACAAACACAGTGTGCAAAAAGAGGGAACAATATAGGGATACGAAGAGCGGTTAATGGCTAGTACCGTACCTACCTACGTATTTTGCGTATTTTTCGATAGGATCTTGCTCTTTTAGTTTGAACTTTGATTTATTTATTTTTTGGTTTGATGATATTTGTAGTACCATATCCAATAGGTAAATGACGTAGATTTTTATAGCCTGGTTGGTGCAATTTACTGACTTTCCTTTCAAATATAATACAAAGGAAAAGGCCTCTGCATATTTCTGATTCATGCTTTATGCGCATCAGTGGAGAGCGAAAGAATAGACCCCTGTTTCCGATGGCATGGAATGGAGGAGGATGGAAAATATTTTTAATAGCCTATTCTACTTTCAATAGGCCATCCTAAAACCAAAGCACTCTACCTACCTTCCGAAGATACAACAATGGCCTACAAGAGTGCCATGCGCGAATTGCACAAAACCTTTGCGCCACTGCCATGTGCTGGTAGCCAGGCAGGTAGATACCGTAAAACGGGGTAAATATGATAATACTCGATTAGTGTTTAAAAAATATGCGTAAAACTCAAACAATCTAGTTCAAGAAATATGAAACTTGAATAAGGATTTAATCAGAAGCATCATAGCAATTAAGAAGACAGCATTAAATTTCCGATGGCCATATCAGAAATACATTTGCTAAGTAATTGTTTGAGTGCCTTTTCAAACAGGCGAAAAACAAGAAAATTTATTTTTTCAGATATTTGGAAATATGTAACACATACTATATAAAAACTCTATACGTTATCCAAGGTAATACCCTAAGCTACAAAATGGAACCTATGTTTTCAATTAGGAAATATTGCAGAAGGTAAATTTAGTCATTATATTCTACTATCAACGCTACCAGCATTATCAAAGATACCCCGTTTTACGGTACCTACAAATGCGAGACAAAACCCAGAGGGGCCAGGAGAGGACTTCGATAGCGCATTCATGAGCAGAATAAGGTATTTACGCGGAAAAATGGGCAGTAGCAGCACCACAATGGGCGATCATATCAGCGATGAATGTAGGTAAACAGGTGAGATCGCTTCTTTTTGCATCTGGTCAATGGAATGGTGACCACGACAGTCTTTTTAGGCAAAGTGTAGCGACACGGATAGATTGCAGAATTATGCGTATTTGGAGGGTATAGTGCTGTTCAATATAATTGTAGCGCATGCCGATTTTCATACAAAATGATCAACTTTGACATGAGGTAACTTTGTTGTCTGATGATCAATTGAGCTGAAACCTTAGTCACAGACTGCTATTATTTCAAGTAACAGTTTTACTTATCAGGCATAACATTTGATTACGGTACAAAAGCATTTGTAAACCAACTTTCTAAAGCCCTTTAGACGCGAACCAAAGGACGCCCACGCAAACCAATACCACTTTCGGAAAGGTGATAGTTGCCCCTATCCGATGATGTTGTTGGTTTGCGTGGGCGTACTTTGGTTCGCGTGTAAAGGTCCTTAGAAAGTTTATTTACAAAAGCTTTTGTGCCGCTAACAAATGTTATGCCTGCTATGATCTCACTTTCCGGTAGGTGCTTCAAAAAATTTGGTATTTTGTAATCGTAAAATTGAACAAATTACGGCGACGAAAGTTTGAGCTCAATTGTTCTTAAGAGATCAAAGTTACAACATGTCTAAGTTTTCGATGTTGTGTGAAAATCGGCATGCGCTGCTATTATACCGAACAGCACTGTATGTACCTAATGGAAATTGAACGAACTGATGTCGCTGGGAGGCAAAAAAAGGTACCTACATGCCCGATTTCAACCCTTTCCTTCCCAGTTGTTTGGATACGTTAAAATGTGTTTCTGAAAATAGTTTATTGTTTATTATTGTTTTGCATTGGATGGATGAAGAAAGATAATGTTAACCTTATCAACTATAGTAAGTAAAAAATACATTCAAGCATGGTCATAACATAAAATTATATATATCTTATAGTCAGTTACTCCTGCCAGCGAAAAACAGAAGAAAATTTTCGACGAACCGCATCACGGGTGGGATGAAAGTCAAAGACAGATGCAACTCTGTTGAATATTCTCTGCAGTCCGCAAATCGCACCGTATGCTGCTCCATAATTTGTGCGACGTCATGAGGTCGTCCCTGCATTAAGGGCTGGACATAATTTTAGCGGCATAGCGGCAAGCGCATATTTTCCAATACACGGAAATCCGTTTGACAACCCACAATGAGTGCGTTACGGCAAAACCGGTAATTGTACTAAAACTCATTTTTTCAACATTTTGGAAAAACGCGGTGTGGTTAAGCGGCAACCTGAGAAGTGCTCAATGTTTTCAGATGTATTTTTTGTAATTTTGAATTAACCAGAAACTTCAAGACGTGAACCAAATAATCATCCAAGGTAGTAAGTAAGTAGTCAGAAAAATGTTGGCCGCATCCGGACATGTTCTGGGTACTCCCGAGGAAGTGGTCAGTTTCTTCTTGAACCAACACCCTCATACGACACATCAAATTACATGAGAATTCATAAATATTGCAATTTTTGACCATATTAAGTACTGAAGACCACGTTGGCTAGATCCGGACATGTTCCCCGGAGAAGTGAAACTTGGACCTACATCCTCATGTCACATCAAACTACATGAGAATTGAAAAATAAGAACATTGGTGCCCATATTAAGTACTGAGGACCACGCTGGCCAGACATGTTCCGGTTGCTTCCGGGGAGTTTCATAAATTTCCCAAAATTTTCCTGAGGCCAATGCAACTTCTCGGTAGTTTTCAAAAATTCCCAAAATTCTCTTCAGAACTACTCTGAAGGTCTTCTCAGAACTACCCTGAAACTCTCCACAGAACTACTCTAAAGTTCTCTTCAGAATTACTTTGAACTTCTCAAAACTACTCTGAAGTTCTCCTCAGAACTACTCTAAAGTTCTCCTCAGAACTAAGTTCTCGTCAGAACTACACTGAAATTTTCCTAAAACTACGCTAGATCTTCGATGAAGTTTTCAACATTTTCCTGAAATGTACGAAGTTGTCTGAATATTCTCTTCTTTGAACTTTCCCGATATTCGGGACTTCTCTAAAGATATCGTTACTTCCCAAAGTTCTTAAAACTTCTCAATAAATTAGAGTCCTCTGTACTTCCCTAAAATTCACGGAACATTCCTTAAGTTCTCGCAATTTTCCTAATTTTCATAATTCTTCTGCGAAGCCCTAATAAAAAAATACCATAGGCGAATGATAACCCAAATGCAGGGCTGTTACAACAGGCGCGGATTCGCGATTTTCGCGTATTTGTCGCGGATTTGAACTTTCAGTCGCGAAAATCGCGGAAACATTAAATGGTGCAAACCAAACACTCTACATATAATCGAGAAATGATCTCAATTCTATAAGTCACACCGAAATTACATGGAAATTCCCTGGGGTCTGTCCAATGTGAGACATTTTCTTATTTATTTTTTTTCCAATATGAACATAGCAGTTTTCGTTGTCAAATCATAAACGAATCGTATATATGCGAGTAATTGCAATAATGTCTGTAGTTTCGAAATATGTCGAAACAGATTCAAAGTGTCTATGTGGATTGTGCCCGACCTATTGGTACGTATACAATATGTTATAGGTTTTGAAATCATTCTGGAGATCAGATTATTTTTCTACTAGATCACTCAAGACTAATTTAATATCTGTTGTATCGAAATATGCCCAAACAAATTTGCAGTGTCTATGTGAATCATGCCAACCTATTTCCGTGTATGCCAAATGTTCTAGGATTTCCAAATTGATATTTCGATACTACCAATATTATCCCAGCCTTTGTTGATCTAGTAAAACAAATCATCTGAACTGCAGGACGATTTGGAGAACCTAGATCGTCTGGTATACGTGGAAATAATTAAACATTATCCATATAGACACTATGAATCTGTTTGGACATATTTCGATACTACCGACTTTATCCCAGTCATGGTTGATCTAGTAGAATAAATCATCTGAACTCCAGAACGATTTGGAGAACTTAAAACATCTGGTATACATGGCAATAGTTCATGCATGATCTACATAGACACTGTGCATCTGTCTGGAAATATTCCGATACTAAAGACATTGTCCCAATCTCGGTAGTAGATCAAATTATCTGAACTCCAAGATGATTTGAAGATCCTTGAACATCTGGATTACTCGGAAGTAGATCTTCTATGATCCACAGACTACTCGATACTACAGACATTATTGCAGTCTTGGTTGATCTAGTAGAACAAATCAACTGATGTCCGGGACGATTTAGAAAACCTATAATTTCCGGCATACATAGTTATAAGTCGTGCATGATCTACAAAGTCACATGTATGATATATACGATTGGGTTATGATTTGACAACGAAAAGTGCTAGGTTCATATTAGAAATAAAAAAATCATGAATATCCGTGTAAATACACAACCGCGACGTGACCAACAAGTGTGACTTATGAAACTCTGGTAATTTCTCGATTATGTGC